ACAAAAGAACTATCGAAAAGTTTGAGAAGGAGGCTGCTGAGATGGGAAAGGGCTCCTTCAAGTATGCCTGGGTCTTGGATAAACTGAAAGCTGAACGTGAGCGTGGTATCACCATTGATATCTCCCTGTGGAAATTTGAGACCAGCAAGTATTACGTGACTATTATCGATGCCCCAGGACACAGAGACTTTATCAAAAACATGATTACAGGCACATCACAGGCTGACTGTGCTGTCCTGATTGTTGCTGCTGGTGTTGGTGAGTTTGAAGCTGGTATCTCCAAGAATGGGCAGACCCGTGAGCATGCTCTTCTGGCTTACACACTGGGTGTGAAGCAACTGATTGTTGGTGTTAACAAAATGGATTCTACAGAGCCACCCTACAGTCAGAAGAGATATGAGGAAATTGTTAAGGAAGTCAGCACCTACATTAAGAAAATTGGCTACAATCCTGACACAGTAGCATTTGTGCCAATTTCTGGTTGGAATGGTGACAACATGCTGGAGCCAAGCGCTAATGTAAGTGACTTTCAAGACAGTCGCAAAGCTGTGAAAGTGGTGATTTGATCTAACGGTGATTGGCAATGTTTGTGTTTCAGATGCCTTGGTTTAAAGGATGGAAAGTCACTCGTAAAGATGGCAATGCCAGTGGAACTACACTGCTTGAAGCTCTGGATTGCATCTTGCCACCAACTCGTCCAACTGACAAACCTTTGCGTCTGCCCCTCCAGGATGTCTACAAAATTGGTGGTAAGTTGGACATTAATATGCTGTGAAGGTGGGATTTAATTTTGTGTAGATATATAGCCTTCCATGTTCATAAGGCATTTATGATACTATGTTGTAAATATTTTAGGTATTGGTACTGTTCCTGTGGGCCGAGTAGAGACTGGTGTTCTCAAACCTGGCATGGTGGTCACCTTTGCTCCAGTCAACATTACAACTGAAGTAAAGTCTGTTGAAATGCACCATGAAGCTTTGAGTGAAGCTCTGCCTGGAGACAATGTGGGCTTCAATGTTAAGAATGTGTCTGTCAAAGATGTTCGTCGTGGCAATGTTGCTGGTGACAGCAAAAATGACCCACCAATGGAAGCAGCTGGCTTCACTGCTCAGGTAACAACTTAAATAAGTCACATGTTAACTTGTTGCACAACTTAGTCATTAAGAATTACTAAATGCAAATCTTTATTTCCAAGGTGATTATCCTGAATCATCCAGGCCAAATCAGTGCTGGTTATGCCCCTGTACTGGATTGTCACACAGCTCACATTGCTTGCAAGTTTGCTGAGCTGAAGGAAAAGATTGATCGGCGTTCTGGTAAGAAGCTGGAAGATGGCCCTAAATTCTTGAAATCTGGTGATGCCGCCATCGTCGATATGGTTCCTGGCAAGCCCATGTGTGTTGAAAGCTTCTCTGACTATCCTCCTCTGGGTAAGTATGATTGTTTACTATGTAGACAGAAGTTGTACTAAAGGCAGAAAATTACTGCTGTGAATTAAGTGTGTTTCTCATGGAAATACAATTTGTTTTAATAGGTCGTTTTGCTGTTCGTGATATGAGACAGACAGTTGCTGTGGGTGTCATCAAAGCAGTGGACAAGAAGGCTGCTGGAGCTGGCAAGGTCACCAAGTCTGCCCAGAAAGCTCAGAAGGCTAAATGAATATTATCCCTAATACCTGCCACCCCAGTCTTAATCAGTGGTGGAAGAACGGTCTCAGAACTGTTTATCACAATTGGCCATTTAAGTTTAATAGTAAAAGACTGGTTAATGATAACAATGCATCGTAAAACCTTCAGAAGGAAAGGAGAATGTTTTGTGGACCATTTTTTTTGTGTGTGTGGCAGTTTTAAGTTATTAGTTTTTAAAAAATCAGTACTTTTTAATGGAAACAACTTGACCAAAAATCTGTCACAGAATTTTGAGACCCATTAAAACAGAGTTTAATGAGAAACCTGTGTCTTCTTTTGGTCAGCGCTGGAACTTCAATAGAAATGCTTAGGCAAAGGACATAACAGTTTCTCATCTATGGTGTGAGGTATTTTGCATGGGAATTGAGTTTTTTTCCCACCTGTTTCAAAGGGAGTGGAATCTTCCAAGGTCTTAGTGTAAAAGATGAGTGCTATGTTGGTTGCAACGCTTGGTTAGGACAGAAAAGCATTAATTTTATTTACATGTGATTTACTTTAGAAAGCTAAAGGCCACGTAGTACAAAATCTTGTGTGTAGTTAACATCAGAGTGGAATTTCAAATTTCAGTTTTCTAATTTTTGGAATGTGCATTTTTCATTATTGCAAACATTGTAGCAGTTGAACCTCAAATGTGAGGTTTAAAGAGTGTTGGGTTAATACCCAGCTTCTAGGAAAAATAATAGTGGAAGCTGAGTGTTTACTGTCGTGAGAAATAGAAACCTAATTTGAAAAGGCATTAAATCTGAAGTGTAAGATTACGTGAAAAGTTAACATTGCCAAACTAGAGATGTAAACACAGTTTGCGGGAACAAGGCAGTAATAGAAAAGTAATAAAACATTAATGGTCATAATTTGGTAGCTAAAAATTGGCAAAGTGGACAAGATTACTGCTGAGATAATTGGTATCTTGTCAGTTGTCTGGCAACTTGAGGTGCTGGTTGATCACTAGCAATGAATGGTGATCATAGGCTTAACAGGTAATGGGTCTTTATTGACAACTAAGGAAACCAATCTAGTAAAGTACCTGGTTTTGGCCAGTTAAGTGAACTTTAACACTTGTGCATTTGAAAACAACTTTTTGGCAGAATGACATAAGATGTGTTCAACAAGGCAAATTTATGCTAAGCAGAGTTTAAGGGGGTTCAAGAGACAAGGCTCTAAGCCACTAGCAACGTGGAATATCTTGGCCAAAATTCAAAAAGTACCCCATTGATGTAAAGTGGCCATAGATAAAACTCGTCAAATTATAGTTGGATTGTTATCTTTCTACCTAATTTAAGCTTATATCTGGGTAAAATGACTTCCTGCTGACATTGATGGGGGCTGTAAACTGAATGACTAAAAGTTTTGTCCTCAGTTTCGTGAGTTAATTTGGCCCCATGTTCATAGAGTACTGCCTATCTACTTGATTGTAAGAGAAAAGGTAGGTAAAGTCCTTCATAGCTGGATAATAGAGGATAGCTGAAAATGGAAGATTGACAAACTTGTAGGATTATTACTTACCCTCAAAGAATTAAATTTTAACTGGAACATTGCTACCACCAGTAGAGTCCCAGAAACCTTGAGTTAATTGTATGCTGAGGTTTATGAAGCCCAGTACATGGATGCTTCAGTTGTCTGGTTTGAGCACCACCTACTGGTAGTCATTACAAATGAGCTTAAGACAATAGATGAATTTTTAAACGGATAAAATGTTTTCTTTACAGTAACTATTTGAATTTATTAAAAGCAAGATTTTTGAATGGTTTTCAAAGGTGATGAAAAAATACCTCAAACTAGTGCTTGACTTTAAAACCTTATGTTGTCTGGCCACGTATGGTTATAAGTAACCCCAGATGTGGACTTGTTAAAAATCTGCTCCTAGGAATTCTGGTGTAATTTCAGAATATGAAAGGAGGGGCTGGCCAGGTAGCTCGGTTGGTTAGAGCGTGGTGTTATACCAAGGTCAAGGATATGGATCCCCTTACTGGCCAGCTACCCCCTCCAAAAGATGTGGGTAGGAAGTTAAACATGGTAGATTGTCATTAAGGCATACATGATCTTTTTTTTCTCATTGCTATCCTATTCCCAGAATAGGAAATCCAAAATTACTGGGTTTGGGCCATGTCAGAAGTCAATTTTAGGCCCCTACTTTCCCACAGTATTGGGAATATTTGATATTTATCTCCCAAATCTCAGATGCATCGGGCCTCAGCTATGACTCAGGAACTCAGTATTCTAGTGGAACACAATTTGTTCTGAACTACCATCAATTTGGTGTCATTGCTTTCTTCACAAAGAATGTTGACAACTTTAATAGGCCATAATTTTAGCATTGGTCAATGATTACATTTCAAATTTAAGGTTTTAGTAACGGTTAACCATTTATAGAACCTGATATTTATCCCTTACTCTGATGTGATTATTTGCGGCTCAAGACACAGTACTGGGAGGCTGGTTGGTTAGCTCCCTGGGTTAGAGTGTGATGTCATAACACAATGTGAAGCATTCCTACCAGCCAACTGCATCACCCCCAAAAAACAAGTATGTGAAGTGAAAAGTATAGAAGGAGATGATACTTACCTTGGACTGCTCTTAGAAGGGCCATAGATCTAAGAATTTAGAGTTCGGCTTGTCTCTGGGAAACACCATGACAACAAATAATGTTGGGTTAATGTTGCAATAACTTAGATTAAGAATACTTCAAGCAAGAGATTTACAAGTCTCGTTTTAAATTTAGTTTGGGGGGGCAGCTGGCCAGTATGGGATTCAAATCCTTGACCTTGGTGTAATAACACCCCACTAGCCAATTGAGCTCTCTCCAACCTCCCATTTTTAAATTAAGGTATTTACATAAACTAAAATTCATCTTTTAACATATGTACTTTGCAAGTTTTGACAAACATACGGTTCATCACAAAATAGAGAGTAGTTGTCACCCCCCAAAATTACCCGTTGCCTATTGTAGTCAACCCCTCTCCTCTACTAGCCCTTGGTAACCACTGATCTATTTTCTAGGCTTATAATTTTGTTTTTGTAAGTCATTCCTGGACCTTAATAGCCTTTTAAGTCTGGCCTCTATCACTTAGCATGATGCATTTGAGATTCATCCATTTTGCATATGTCAATAATGTGTTTGTTTTTCGTGGATGTAAGACAGTCCATGTATTTCCCAGCTGAGGGACATTTGGTTTCCAGCTTTCAATTATGAATAAAGCTTCTATAATCATATATATGTAGGCTTATATGAAACATGTTTTCATTTTACTTGTATAAATATCTAGGAATGGGATTGTTGTGTCATGTGGCAAGTGTATACTTACCTTTATAAACTGCCAAACTTTTCTATAATTAAGAGATTAATTTTTTTAAGGAAGAAAATAGGTTAAATGAGTGTTACACTGGTATTCTGTATGACAGTGAATTAGTTTGTTTAAAAAATATTGTGCCTGCTGTGTGTCAGGCACTCTAGGCACTGGGGATAGAGCTGTGAACAAAATAGACACAGGTTTTGCCCTTTGAGTTTATAGTTAGTGGGGGAGATAGATACTGAATAAATACAAGCAGATCTGAGTTGTGATGATGCCATGAAGGAAAAAAAAGATGATATGAAGAAGAGTAAAAGACATAATTTAGATTGGGCAGAGAGAAGGTATTTGTCAGGAATAGCTGAGACCTGAAGGGATAAGTAGGAGTTATTGGAGAATATGAAAACATTGTATTGGGCCGGCCCGTGGCTCACTCGGTAGAGTGCGGTGCTGATAACACCAAGGCCGCGGGTTCGGATCCTATATAGGGATGGCCGGTTTGCTCACTGGCTGAGCGTGGTGCTGACAACACCAGGCCAAGGGTTGAGATCCCCTTACCGGTCATCTTTTAAAAAAAAAAAAAAAACATTGTATTACATTTTAGACATCTCAGAGTATATGAGGCTTAACTTGGCCTCATGGCAATCACACAGAATAAGAAATCTGAGTTACAAGAAAATTTAAAATTTTTATCTAACCTATTCAAATCAACTGAATATATTCATTGAAATTGGCATGATTACCTCAATGTGTATGTCATACGTTGAATCCTCACAACAACCTTTGTAGAGTGCAGGTATACCCATATTACAGCTTCCTGACTCATGGAGAGGTCAAGTATGGGAGCTTCTAAGTCATCTTACTGCTGGATACATTTGTTTTTTCAATATTTACCCAAATTTGCCTGTTGGTAACTTCCAGTCACTATATCTAGGCTATTCTCTAGTGTAAAGTGACTTCATTCTCTTTTCTACAAGAGTCACTAATTTTCTTGAAGACCACTTAATACCCCTGAGTTACATCTGAGCTAAACACTTTCAGTTCCTACAACTGTTACAATCTTAGGTCATGTGGCTTCTAGGTTCTTCCCATGCTGTACTCCTTTCTTGACAGTCTATAGCTTTTAAAGCTTTTCTACCAAAATTAAATATATTTTTATTTTTATTTTTTTTTTTATTTATTTTTTTTTTTTAAAAGATGACCGGTAAGGGGATCTCAACCCTTGGCCTGGTGTTGTCAGCACCACGCTCAGCCAGTGAGCAAACCGGCCATCCCTATATAGGATCCGAACCTGCGGCCTTGGTGTTATCAGCACCGCACTCTACCGAGTGAGCCACGGGCCGGCCCAAAATTAAATATATTTTTAGCTGTGGCTGCCTAGAAGACTGTTCTCTTAATGTGATCCAAGAGGTAAGTCATCTTTAGGCTTTAGTTTCTTAAATTGATCAATTTATCTAATGGGGTAATACTGTTGTGAGGATGAAATGATTATATAGAGTCCTTAGCCCTGTATCTGGCCTATTGTAAGCAGCCAAAAAAAGTAGCTTTTGTTATTAGTTGTTTGGACGATCAGTTGCTTTAAGCAACTCCATTGTACTTCTGAATTACGGTCAACAAGTGTCACCTGATTTTTTCATGCAGCTTGTTTTTTAGGAAGATGTTCTTTATATTTGTATGGTTTTCCTTTCGAATAAACTTTTGTTTTGGAATAACTTTAGATTTACAGAAAAGTTGCAAAGACAGGATAAGGAGTTCCCTTATACTCCCACCTAGTTTTCTTCCCCTAATGTTACTATCTTACATTAACAGTACATTTGTCAAAACTAGTAAATTGGTATGCTACAGTTAATGTCTAGACTTAATTCAGATTTCACCAATTCTTCTATTTTTTTTTTTTCCTTTTTGTCTTTTTTACTGACCGGCAATGGGATCGCAACCCTCGGTGATGCACCCGCACCACGGTCAGCCAGTGAGTG